GCACCTGGAAACTTCCAGACCAGGGCTACTGGAAAAAGCTCAAGACTACTTTATTTTCATTCATGAACCCCACCTTTACATCCCAAAAGACCTGGTATGAAATGGAATGAATTTATTCTCAAATGGCCCTTCAAATTAATGTAGTTATATCATATTCAAAACTAAAGTGAAAACTGGATCATGCTGTATTTCCCAGGCCCTCATATCAGCCTTGGTCTCTCTCTCAAATTTTAAGAATCCTTTTAGAAGAGTGCCAGTGGTTTTGATATGTTATGGCGCTGGAACCTGCTGCCTTGTAGTTGGTGAATCCCATGTTAAACAATTCTTTCCTTATTTTCTTTGAAAGTAGGATTCTCTTGGAAAGCAGATTCAGAAACATTTTACAAGAGAGAAGAGCAAGACCTGTTCCAGCGTAATGTCAAACACCAGGCATACCACAGCAACAGCTTTGTTGGAAAGCATGTCAATACCTGCCTACAGGAAAAAGCCTTTTAAAAAAAATGATTTTAGTACTGAGTAATTTGTTTAAGTAGTTATGGTGAATTTGCATTGTTACTTTTTTTTAAGACAGACCCAAAACATCAAAAAGATCTGCAACATTCTAGGTCATAGAGCAAGAGTGCCCAGAGATTGTTGCAGAGGCAAGGCTTACAAGAGAAATAAACACAGCTGTTTACATTGTTTGGACAGTGCCACTCAAATTTAATTCATGTTCTCCAATTGAAGGACCTGAGGCAACTGCTTTAGATATGTAATTCATACTTACATGGCACTGCTGAGGACAAAACACTCATTAACATGAGCTTTAATTTAAATCACTATGCATGGTCTATAAAAATATCATATTCTTTCATGTTGTTTCAGAAAATGTCAACAAGAAATTCACTGCACACTACTGCAGCAATTTTGCAAAGGAGATATTTCCTCCCAAGCTCCACATGTTGGAAGACCAAATCGTCCCATTTAAAAGGAAGTGGAAATTTTCATTGGGATTCTTTGGACTATAACAAGACACTTCAAAAGATGCTTGGGCAGCATTATGTCACAGTGGAAAATCCAAAAAAATCCAAAAGGCTGAGAGAATTAATCCTTCAAAGAGTAACAGGACAACTGAAAAGAAAAGCAACCAACACTGAGGGATCAAGTGTGAGTGATTCCACTTAAATAACACTGAAATAAATCTATATGGATAAAATAAGGATCTTGATTCATCTATAGGTTTTCGTGCACAGGCTGTAGCACTGTTATGTTGGGGAAACCAACAGACACTTTGCCACCTACATCCACAACATCTTCACTCAGACAAGCATTCCCTTATAATTAATTATAGAATAACTGAGCTACTATGCACGCTCTCATTGGTCGGTAGCTGTTTTTAGATGAGAGTATGTAAACATAGTTGTGATGTTTTAGATTTGCACGTATTTTTGAGAATTATTTTATAAAAGCAATAGAGCACTATTTCCATGTTTACATAGCCTCATCTAAACACTGGGGGGCTGGAAGAATTCTCAAAAGTTATGCAAACCCTCAACTACATCTCGGGTTTGCATAACTGTCTTGAATTCTCCCTACCCTCCACGTGTTTAGATGAGGCTATGTAAACACGGAAAAAGTGCTCTATTGCTTAACCACATAAGGGGTCCAGATAATTATCACTCCCGGAAGAGTGTTTTGAAATTCTTGACTCAGCTTCCACTAGCTTCCAATTAAAAGTGAAGAAAGCCATGCACACCCTTT